TAAGGAAAGAAAACAGACTAGAAAAAAAATAATTTTTACTTGAGTTTTTTCAACTTCCATTTTTTTCTCCTTTCTGTAAATGAGATAAATTTAACTGTATCCTACTTTATATATATTTAAAATATGTATATATTTTTCTTTTTCTCTTTTATTTTTTCTTTGAGTTTTTTAATCAGTGTACTTATCATACATAGTGCACATAGTCATCATAGGGAATTTGTACCTGTACAAAATATACCCTAATTTTTTCCCTTCCAATTCTGCTCCATCCTTCAGCCCTTCTTCCCCTCCCTGTTTACTGAAGCTTTGTTTCCACTTATTCCTTCCATTCTCTTTTCTAAATCCCTTTTCCTTTACTTCCTGCCCTCTTCCATTCTCCCTTCCCCCCTTCCCCTGAATGGTTCTTCTGTCCAATATCTATCCTCCATTTGCTCCTTATTTACCCTTAGGGTTTCCTCACACAAGAGAAACTATGTGATATTTGAACTTGTGTGTCTTATTTTACTTAAAAATTATGGTCTCAAGATACATCCATTTATCTATGGATGACTCAAGTTTTATCTTTCTTTATGGCAGAGTAGTACTCCACTGTTTATAAATACCACATTTTTTATTCATTCATCTATCAATGTGTATCTGGGCTATTTCCAAGATTAGCTAATAAAAGTTGTGTAGCTATAAACATGGGTGTGCATATATCACTATGGATATCGTGCTATATATATCCTTTTAATTCTACTGGGAAGATACCAAGAAGGAGAATAACTGGGTCAAATGCGGCCTGTAGATTTAGTTTTTTAAAGACTCTCCATACTGATTCCCATAGTGGTTGTACGTTCTACATTCCTGCCAGCAATGGAGAAGCATTCCTTTTTCCCCCAGCCTGAATAGCATTTGTTATTCGTTGATTTCATGAAGATAACCATTGTTTTTGGAGTGAGAATCTCAAGTGTTGTTTTCACTTGCGTTTCTTGAATGATCAGGGATGTTGAACATTTTTTTATGTACTTACTTGCTGTTTGCACTTAACTTCTTCATCTGAGAAGTGACTATTGATTCATTTCAGATGCCCAGTTTTGGGTTGGGCCTTTGAATACTTTAAATTTTAATATAAAGGTCTTTTTCTTCATCAGGTTGATTTCTAAATATTTCATTTTTCTTGATGCTACTGGGAAAGGTGTTGTTTCCTTCATTTCTCTCTCAGTGAGTTTAACAGATTGGGATAAAGACCTTCTATTCTGATTTTCTGTAGGATTTTTATTATGAATGCGTTGGACTTGTCAGACGATTTTTCTGCATCTATTGAAATGATCATGTATTATTTGTCCTTGGTTCTGTTAATGTGGTGTATTACATTTATTGTCATATACTGAACCATCCTTGCATCTGTAGGGTGAATCCTACTTAGTCATGGTACATAATTTCCTTGATAATTTGCTACATTCTGCTTGCCAGGATATTATTGAAGATTTCTGCATCTATGTTCATTAAGGAGCTCGGCCTGTAGTTCATTTTTTTAGTTGGATTCTTCTGTGGTTTTGGTATTAGGATAATGCTTGCTTCCAGGAATGACTTGAAAGTATTGCTTCCTCTTCAATTTTATTAGACTTTGAGAACTAGTGGCATTAACTCTTCTGTAAATTTCTTATACAGCCGAGGACTTAGCCCAGTGGCATAAGCACCTTCCTGGCAAGCACAGAGTCCTGAGTTCAATCCCTGGTACCATCCCAAATAAGAAATAAATAAACAAATAAATTAATTTCTCATATAATTCAGCAGTGAACCTGTCAGGGCCTGAGCTTTTCTTCGTTGATAGGTGTTTTTTGTTGTTCTTGTTGTTTGTTTGTTTGTTTGTTTGTTTTAGTACTTATTCAGTTTCATTGACTGATAATAGATTATTTAGTGCTTTTATATATTCTTGATTCAGCTTTGGTAATTCATATGTATCTAGGAATCTATCCATTTCTTCTGAATTTTCTCTTATAATAGTACAGGTTCTTTTTTTTTTTTTTTTAATAGTACAGGTTCTTAAGTATGTATCAATGATCTAAGTTTCTTTATCTGATGTGATTTCACCTTTTTGATTTTTGTGTGAATTTGAGATTTTTCTGTCTTGATAAGGTTAGTTAAGGGTTTGTCTATTTTATTTAATCTTTCAAAAAAACTTGTTGGTTGATTGGTTCTTTGTATTCTTTTCTTGGTCTTAATTGCATTAATTTCTGTCTTAATCTTTATAATTTTCTTCTTTGTACAAGATTGAGGCTTATCTTGCTCTTTTTCTGGAAACTGGAGGTTTAACATTAAGTTATTTGAGTTTACTTGATTTTTCTGATGCATAACTCACTGCTATAAATTTCCATCATATTATTGCTTTTATTGTGTCCTATAAGTTCCAATATGTTGTATTGGGCATTTTCCTTTAATGGTAGAAACTGTCTGATTTCTTCCTAAATTTGATCTGTGACCCGCTGATTGTGTCCAGGAAGGTATTATT